CCGGACCTCTCCCTCGAGCCACCCGTGTTGGTTCCCCGGACAGGAACCCAGTGCTCCGGAGTGGTGCCCCGCCGGCCACCAGGGTCACTACAGCTTCCAGGCAGTACTCACCAGTACCATCGATGCGCGGCGCCGATCCTGTTGGCGGCCTCCACTTGAGGGTGGTTGGGGTTCCGTCACGTCGTTCCCACCAGGTGCAGCGGCTCGCTCGGTGGGTGCTGGGGCCAGGTGCCGGGGAGACAGGGCAGAGGCCAGTCCAGAGGTGGAGTCATGGTCAGCAAGGGGTTCAGCATGGTGGCCAAGGCGGGACGGCGCCTGGATAGTGTTCCAAGGTTCATTAGAGCAAACAGCATCGGAGGACAGTGGGCCCCGTCGGGTAGGTTAGCCTGGAGGCAGAGGTCCTGGTGGATTTATGGGTCAGGAGACCAGGACGACGGTGGGCTGGGCCGATGTGCTGGGGTGTGGGACGGGCGGCGATCAAAAGTCAGCGGTTCTGTGGGTCAGAGGGCCAGGTGTCGGTCAGAGGTCATGACGCGAGCGTGGCAGACTGCGGGCGGAATGGGTCAGCGAGGTGGCGCTTACCGATAGGCCATGAAGGGCTTGGTGTTCATGCTGGCTGGACACTCCGATGGCCTGTTGACGGGCGCCCCGGCAGGCTGGCAGTGAACGGGGTGGCTGTGGCCTAGGCTGGGGACAGTCCCGGTGTCACTGCCACCATACTCTGTTGAGCACAGGAAGCCGCAGGCCAGCCCAGACTCGAGGGGAACAGACGGCAGCCCTGGTGGAGGGGGGGGCTGCAGGGTCTCCCCGCAAGGGCCCAGCGACGCAGGGAGGGGAACAACTCCGGCCATGTCTGTCAACCGTCTACACGGGGCTGGGGGTGGGGTGGGGCCCAGCCAGAAAAACAAGAGGCTGGAATCCGGCAGGTGGCATGTGGGCACCTGCGGAGTTCCAGGAGCCACCGGGACGTGCAGAGCCCCCGTGGTTCCCTGGCCGTAGCCCCTGGCGGGCTGTGAGCCTTCCCAGTGTTCTGGGGAAAGAACGTGCCCCTGGCGTGTCATTGAGGACGATGACGCATCCTGACGCCCGCAGGGCACTTGCGATGTGCCCAGTACTTTCTAGATGCTTTGCGACAACCTTGATGTGGATTGGTCTCATAACCCATGCTTTATAGATGAGAACTGGAGGCACAGAGAGGTTAAGTAACTTGCCTAAGGTCACACAGCTACTAAGTGGGATGTGAACATAGGCCATAGCATTGCACAGCCCCAAATAAAAACAGTAGGCATGTCTTTTTTTTTATTATTTTTTTGAGACAGAGTCTCTCACTCTGTAGCCCCGGCTAGAGTGCCGTGGCGTCAGCCTAGCTCACAGCAACCTCAAACTCCTGGGCTCAATTGATCCTCCTGCCTCAGCCTCCAAAGTAGCTGGGACTACAGGCATGTGCCACCATGCCCGGCTAATTTTTTCTATATATATTAGTTGGCCAATTAATTTCTTTCTATTTATAGTAGAGAGAGCATGAACTTTGAGGTTCTTCACAGCGGAGACGGCATCGAGTCCAGCAAGATGATGAAGGTGTCCTCTACGAGATGCGGGTGTTCGCCGTCAACGCCATCGGAGTGTCCCAGCCCAGCATGAACACCAAGCCCTTCATGCCTATCGGTAGCGCCCACCCCTCGCTGACCCATCCCGCCCCGCAGCCTCTGGCCACGCTCTGCCCGTCACTGACCTCTGACCCGACACCCTGGCCTCTGACCCCACAGGACGTGTGACGCTTTGATCCTGCCGCGTA